ACCCCAAAAAATGAGAAAAATGTCAACAGTCTTAATGAATTTTAGAAATTACCAGCGTTTGTAGTTAAGGTATCATTTTGGCATTGAGCCAATTTAAAAAGAAAGCATTTTCAGGGGTTTTAAGAACAGTGACGCTAGAAAAAATGTGGCTTGCTCCTCAACTGCAGCACGTTCTACACAGTAGGCTAAGAGATGGTCCAGTGAAAACCAGAAATGCTGGTTTTCTGTCTATTACAAAGAAAAAGGAGGAAGAAATGATCATTTCTGTGTCACCTACTGTTGGGTAGGACTGTTGCTAGGTGCTTGGTCTCGTCTTATGACCACGCCAGCCCCCATTTAGTAGGCATCGTTCTCTCCATGTTATAGCTGAAGAAACTGAGGCACAGAGATTTTAAATGACCAAGGTCACACAGCTAGTAAGTAGGAGAGCAAGCTATCAAAGTGATCCCTCTACATTTCCTTCTCCCATTCTTTCCTCCTGTAGCATATTGTCTTCCTTGTTAGAAAACCAATTTCTTATGCTTCATTGGCAGTGGTTGCTGTTGGGAGAGTAGCATTGCTATTGTTCAAGCACTTTGTGAATACAAAAATGGAACTCAGATCATGAGCTACAGAAAAGCTTGTCCCCTTTGGAGGGTCTTTTACAAATAAGCTATTTGTTTTTGTTAGGGACAGGTTTTGGTTTCATGGGATACGACTTTGTTTTCAACGACTCATTAAAGAAAGATGACTTACTGCCCTGTTTTCTAAATCTAGTCACAGGCCACAATCACTTGCAGGAAATGGAATGTTTACTTGAGTTTATTATACAAGGCTCTGGATATGAGCTGTGGGACTTTTACACCTCACAGCAACGGTATTACAATTTATTTACAACTTCATGTTGGCAGCTGCACAAACTCTTATGAAAAAGGACAATCACACCTTGGGGACCAGTAATTATAGGCAAAGGTATAAATTGGGCAAAGCAGTGTAAGCGTTTGGCACTTAAGTTGAAGAGAATAGAAATGCTCTGGCAATCGGACAGAAAGCCAGCCTCTTGTTCGTTATGAGGCCATGAACTAATTAAACTGAACTTGTCAGAATAGACAGATGAATAGATTGAACTGGATTTTGGCACTGGCTGGTCCCATGCTCATGAAAACCAGGTTGTTTTAGTGATGTCATCATTTGGAACTTCTAACTATGATATCACTTTTGACAGAATTAATGTGGAATTAATACCATATGTACAAGCATTAATAGGTATTGACTTTGAACACTCAGTGATCATTCAAGGTTGGTTTCCAAAGGAAAACTATGAGATAAGTCTTCCTAGCATCTCCAGTTATCAGATATCAAACCCAGATTAGACATGGATTTCAACACGTTTAATAGAATTCCTCTGAGACAAATTCATATATGTGTTTCTAAAAAATATTTGCATAGGAACATAGTTTAAAACATGTTTTATTTGTAGTAATATTGAAGTAGGGGATGAGAGGATTTAAATTAAGTTCACAGTTAGCTTAAAAGGAATTGCCCAGAGGGTTTTTTAAATGAAACTTTTGGATTTTAGTTAAAATTAAAACTAAGACATGAGATGATCTTATTAATCAAAGTAGTGGTTATGGTTTCTAATTTTCCAGAGGAAATGGGCTCTGTCTTCCGTTTCTCACCAATGCAGATACTGTCTAGGTGAAATCAATTTTTTTCCTGTTTATTATGACAGGTTCTTTTGAATCTTGGGGGTAGGCTGGGGTGTAGTCGTTTTTGTTCACTAAGTGTATATTTGTTTAATGCCTTCTATGTTCTACAACTTTTTTGTAGAATATTTTTGTAGGGCATTTGCTATTTCTCTTCAGATTCCTTATAATTAATTCCTTGTTTTTGAATAGAAATGAAAATCTAGAAAGTGTTACTGCATCCATGCAACACAATGGCCTGAAAAGATAAGCAAAGGAAGATGAAAGGAATTCAAGATCGCACCTTGAATAAATGGTGAAGCTGAGATTAAGCCAGGTGTTCTTTTGACTAGTGCAATGTAACTTATTTAGCAGGATTCTCTACAGGACACTTTTCATAGTTTATCTCATTAATCCTCACAACAGCTCACGTTGCGGTTAAAGAGAATAAGGGTCTTGCTCCAGGTAACTGAGAACTGAACCCACATCTGTCTAACTGCAAAGGCCATGCTTTTTCACATAGGGCCCCCTGACTGCCCAGTACTCTTCCTCCTTTCAGGCAAGAAGCAGATATATCAGAAGCAGAAGAAGCAGGTAAAGCTTGTGTTCCTAGTAGGAAGACAACATGGTGGACTAGGAGGCCTTGCTTTCAATCCTGACTTGGCTACACGCTGATTGCCTCACATTGGCAAATCCCACCACCTCGTTGTGTGTGTTCCTCCTCTGGGATGCCAACATCTCCTCACAGGAGTTCATGTGAAAGCCTAAGCCAACACCAGTAAGTGCTATGAAGTACTATTTGAATGTTTGTTATTACTATTGAAGCGTTGTAATGTTTTTCACAAGGCAGGTCAACAGTCTTTAGGGGTGTAAATGACTATTCTACAAAACATAGTTGATTTCTGAGAAAGTTTAGCTACCCAGTGCAGTACGATAGCAAGGGATTTCCTTTTTCTTCATAAAAATTAAAAAGAAAGTAGAAAATGGAACCCACAATGCCCAGCAGCATGGTCTTTGGAATAAGGCTGTCCCACTTTGTCAATCACTAGCTGCGGGTCCTTGGGCATGACAATTAAACTTCCTAAGTGTAAGTTTCCCAAAAATGGGAATAATAATGGCACTCTCTGTGGATTGTTGTGTTACTTTGCTAGGGCTGCCATAACAGAGTACCACAAACTGGGTGTGTTAGACAACAGAAATTTATTCTCTCACAGTTCTGGAAGCTACAAGTCCAAGATCAAGGTATTGGCTGGGTTGCTTTCTTCTGACAGCTGTGAGGAAAAATCTGTTTCATGTCTTTCTTCTAGCTTCTGTTGGTTTGCTGGCAATCTTTGGTGTTTCTTGGCGTGGAGAATCATTACCCCAATCTCTGCCTTCATCTTCACGTGATGTTCTCCCTGTGTGTGTGTGTCTGTGTCCAAATTTCATCTTTTGAAAAGGACATAAGTCGTATTGGATTAGGGCCCACGCTAATGACCTCATCTTAACTAATTATACCTGCAAGGACCCTATATCCAAATAAGATCACATTCCAAGGCACTGAGGGTTACGGCTTCAACATACGAATTTGAGGGGGAGATAATTCAACCCATAACACTTGTATGGATAAAAAATGAGATAATGCACAAAAAATGTCTAGTATATTTGACTCACAGTTGGTGTTCTGGGATAGTAGGGCTTTACTCCTGTTGGTTAATGATGTTAAGGGGTTAGGAGTTAGGGGGAGTTAGGAGGAGTTAGGGGGAGAATTTAAAATGTGGAACTGATCTCTTTATGACTCTGTACAGAAACTTTATCATGAGGACTAGAAGCAGTGTTTGTAGTCATTAATTACTGTTTTCTCACAGTTCCCTTGGACTTTTTCCTTAGTTTGTGAGCTTTTGAAGGAAGTCCAACCCTTCGCACAGACCAATATGTCCTGCCCAGCCACCTGTTTTGGATTCAAGTCCTTTCTTCCAGACAATTCCCAGAGGTTTATAACAGATGTGTAAAATGTTCCAAGCTACCTTTTCATCGTTTATATTAAAATATAAGAAAACTTAGATGAAAATTTTTCCCTAATGCATTCTATACAAAGAGCATATTTGTGTTTCATTAGAAAGACCAGGTTAAATTTTACAAAGAAATTAGTAAATAGATATAAATGATAACAACCAAAAGCAACCATTTATTGAACATTTAATCTCATCTAGACATGCCAAGATACTAAGTTATTCACAAAGCAACCCTGGAAGGTAGATATTATTATTCTTATTTTATAGATGAGAAAAATGAGACTTAGATTACATACACTATTGAAGGTCAGTAGCTGGCAACTGGCCAAAGCAGACCTCATGGTCAGTTGCGTTTGCTCAGTCTGTGCTCATGCCACATTCCAACAGAGAAAAGGATGCTGTGAATGTCTGCTGGGTGGGAGAAGGAGTCCTGATTCCCGGGACCGAACCTACTGCCGTTGTCATCTAGCATCTTCGAGACCCAGTTTCCTCAAAGAACAATGGAGACAACAATACTATTTGCATGGAGGATTTTATAAGGATTGGGTGTGAGAACCTAGGACACAGGATTTAGCTCGTGCTGGAGTCTCAACACATTTTGTTGGAGAAATAAGACAATGAACAAATGGATGAATGAGTACGAAAATTCATTGAAAGGCTGTTGAGGACTAAACGTGAGTTTATATGGAAATATCACAGAATGTGATTGAGCATAGGTGCTACAATTAATGTTTTTCTACTTTTGAAGATATTTAAAAGGCAGAATCTATTACAAAAGAAACCAATTTTGACTCGGAAGCTCTTATCGAGCATTTGTGTGGGTGTGGTAATGTGTTAAATGTTGTCAGTGGGGTCTTATTTACTCCTCACAGAGACTGCATGAGGTAGATGTTATGTCCACCACCAACTGATGGATGAAACACAGAGGAGTTAAGCAATTTGCCTAAGGTTACCCAGCTTGCACATGTCACAAAGCCATACTTTGAACCTAGGCAGGCTGGTTTCAGAGATTGCTCTCACCCAAATGTTCACGGTCTCACTAGTGGGAAGATCCATGCACCTGAGAACAAGAGATCAGACTTAGACTGTTGGATTTGCTTCTTACCAGCTTGTGAAGCATTGAGCAAAATGCTTAAATCCTCCAGGCCTCAGTTTCCCCTCTATTAAATGGAGATTGCTATCTACCTCATAGGGCTAGAGTGAGGATTAAAGGAATTAATTCCTATTAAATGCTTCGAAGAGTTGCTGACACATAGTAGTGCTCAGTAAATGGTAAGTATCAATCTGGTAATTATGACTGTTGTGCTAACGTCACAATTGGAATTAGATGAAGACCTGTGGCCTCATTCTCTGTTATCAGGCTTAGGATCTGCAGTAATATCCCAACATTTCAGCTCCAGGACAGCCGGCTTGACTCAGAATCTTAGAAGCAGGTAATGTGAAAAATAGCCTTATAAAGAAACAAAATGAGATTTTCCTGGTAAATCACTTAAGCTCTTCTCTAGAAACACATGTTCATTGCTTCATATGGTTTGAGGCTGACCGATTCTCTCTAAAAAATGTTTTTGATAATTTTACAAAAATGAAAATGTATTAATATTTATTACATTCTCAGCACTGTTCTAAGCACTTTGCGTGTATTATCTTATTTACTTCTTAGAGCAAGTCTATGAAATCATATTCTTAGATTGTCCTTTGTATGGATGAAGAAACTAAGGCACAGAAGGTTTAAATCACTTACCAAAGTCACTTAGCTTAAGTGGCGGAGCTGGGAATTGATCTCTAGAAGTCTGAGTCAGGAACCCATTCAGAGAACCACTTTGATTAACTATTTCTATAGTACTAAGATTCATATTTGTCTTAATGAAAGTAGCAAACACGTTTCTCTCATTTTATAAAATCAAATTTAATTCTAATTTCTATGCTTGAATAATTCAAGTTTATGATATCAGTGGACTGGAAACGCTACTTCCAAAGTATCAGGTGTTAAAAAAAAAATCACAATTTATGATAGTCTCCCTGTGGTGGGCAGAATACTGACCCCCGCCCCCCAAAGATATCCATGTCCGAATCCTCAGAATCTGTACGTTACTTTCCATGAAAAAAGAGACTTTGAAGATGGGATTAAGCTAAGGATCTCGAGATGGGGAGATTATTCTGGGTGTTCACAATATAATCACAGGGTTATTATAAGGAGGAGGCAGGAGAGTGAAAAGAGATGTGAGGATAGAAGCAGAGGTGACAGGGAGCCGTTTTTAAGATGCTGTGCGGATGGCTTTGAAGATAGACAAAAGGGCCGTGGGCCAAACAATGCAAGCAGCCTCGAGAAACTGGAAAAGGGAAAGAAACAGAGTTCTCTCTGGAGTCTCCAGAAAGAACGCAGTTCTGCTGGCCCATTTTGGACTTGAACTGTAAAATTAAAAAAAACATATAATGAGATATTATTTGGCAATAAAAAGGAATGAAGTACTGATAAATGCAAAAACATGAATGAATCTTGAAAACATACTAATTGAACAAAGCCAGTCACACAAGACCACAATTGTATACTTCTATTTATATGAAATGTCCAGAATAGGCAAATCTATGGAGACAAAAAGCATATTAGTGGTTTCCAGGGGTTGGAGGTAGGGAGTGGGAGGTGGAGAGTGACTGCTAATGGGTATGAAATTTTTTTGGGGGGTGACGAAAATGTTCTAAACTTAGACTGTGGTGATAGTTGCACAGCTCTGTGAATACATTAATAATCACTGGAGTGCACACTTTAAAAGGGTGAATTTTATAATATGTGAATTATATCTCAATAAGGATGTTAGGAAAAAAGATAAAGGAGGCAGCTGTCTATACGCTAAGCAGTAGGTACTCCCACGTTTTGTTTCACTGGTGTATTGGTCAGGGTTCTTCAGAGAAAGAGAACCAACAGAATATATAACGCTAAATACTCAACAAACGTTTGTTCCTTTCCCAAGTACAGAACAGAGCCATTTAAGCAAGTGATTTCCTGAAACACATGACCCTGGAGAGCCCAGTGCTGTAGTTAAGAAAAGACCATCCATATTATAGAAATACCATTCCTGGTAGTTCTGACATGAGCTGTGCAATTAAGTGCCAATTTTTAGTGTGAAAAGATGATGCCTTGTTCAAATTAGGATAACCTCCAACTAGGTCTAGAATACATGAAAATCATGTAATCCAAGATTTTACTCACCTGAGGGAACAAAATATTTTTGCTGGCCCCAGTTCACCTTCTTTCACACATTTTATAATGTGTGGTATTTTAATCAATGTCAACCTGCGCACATTCAGAAGAGGGGCTTTGGAAATGCTTAATACCTTTTTTTCTTTCAGTTGCCCTGACAGCATTTAACTGTACAAGAAGATATGTATTTCCTTTTGCACTACATGCTTCACAGGAAATTCAACACTAGTTAAAGAGGTTTTTGAAATTTAGACCTGCACTTAATGCATGAATATCTGAAAAACAAGGAACAAAATTCTGCCATTGAAAATGAAATAGTGTGTCTATACTATGCAGGGATATAAAATTGATTATGAAAAGAATAGGCAGAATGACTTAGTTCGGAGTGTGACGGTAAGAGCAGAGGAAATATATTGTTGTCAGGGCCTGTGGGAAAGAAAGGGAGAGTAGAAGAGAAGGCATCTGCAGCAACAGAAATGATCCGGGAGATCTTGGAGTTCTGGCCTAGCTTTGAGCCTTATTGTCGACCAGTTCATTGATGGTTTTGTTTGCAGATCACCCATTAACCCTTGTTCTCAAGTTGATCTTTTCTCAGAAGTGAAGCCTCCAGCTGCTTGATCTGGTGCTCTGCTCACCTCCAATTCCACTGAGGACCAAGAGTTGACTAGTAGGAATGCTTCTCCTAGTTCTTCTGTGTCCCTCCATGTGGAGAGACATCCGTAAGAGTAACACTTCTGGCCTCTTATGTTGGCTCACTCAACTCCTTCTGAGGGTGTTTCTGATTATTCAGTTGTGAAGGAGAAACCAGACATGTATAGTCTGGTCCCATTCTCTCCCCCTTTCTCTCTTGGACACCAGATTCCCACAGGGAGAATTTCCTCTCTTTGCTGCACCGAGCAGAACAATTCTTGGAGAGATTTGCCTCTTGTGTGTTGGTCCAACACAGCTTGTGGTGGGGTGTGTAAGGCTGTATAATTCTGGGGTTTATTGTGAGGAAGTCCAATTTCTCATAGATCTAGCTTTTACAAGTAATAAAATTGATGTTTTATCTCCCATCATCTAACATCTTTATTTTATATATAATTGCTTCAGAACTTGGGTGAGAAAGAGACATACTATTTCTTGGGAGCCATTTGCTATTTAAGACATGCTACTTGTCGGAGGATATCTTCCCCACTCCATGCTGTCTTTAACTTGGCTATTACGGTCTCAGCACATTTACCTCATAATGTCCTTTCCTGGCACAAAACTCTGCAAAGTAGGATGATGTGCACATTTTTGAAAGAATTGTCTAATGGGCATGTGATCAGGACTGTTTTGTTCATTTTAATTCATTTCTGTATTTTAAAAATCAAGATTTAAAGGGGAGATACTCCAGCAAAAATTTAAATTTGGGAGATGCATTCATTAATCCAATTGTTCATTCTATGAATATGGATATTTACTAAGCATCTGCAACATGCCATGAACTGGGAATAGAATGTAGTCCTGATCCTCAAAGGCCCGCCATTTGAATGTCAGAAAGCCGTCTAACGAGATGATTATGTCAAGGTTGTAGGCTCAGTGATAGATACATGGAGAACATTCTATCCAAAATGGTTTGGTCAGAATGACATAGCAGTGCTTTTGCCCCAGTTGAGGGCACATTTGGCTTGAAGATATGTGTCATATCCCACCATAAATCAGGAAGTCTAATTCTTGAATTGTAAAATATGATCAGAACTAGGTTAAATGAACTCTCTTCGAAGGTAAGGATTCCGTTTATTTTTCTCTGTATCTCTTCAGCTTAGAAGCATATCTGGCACATAGTGGATATTCAATATATGTATATTATCTGTTTTGTCCGTTCATCATCCATCAGTCCATCTATTCCACAAATATCTGAGCATACCCTGAAAAGTGCTGAATAAATAGTTATAAATAAAAGTGACAAGATGTCTTATCTGATGGAGTTTATAATTTATTAATGCCAGACTTTAGAAATCCTTTTATTTAAGTGCATTTACATTTTAATGCACACCTACTGAATGCTTACTGTTATAAATCATATATAATATACTTACATGTTATAAACATCACCTAATGTTTATGTGACTGTCACCTCCCATAGGATATTTATATCTGCCTTCTAAACCATTACTTTTACTCCCAATTCCTTTCATGTAGGGTTTGCTATACAAAAGGAAGAACGAATGTGGGATAGAAAGTTCTGGTCTCTGGTCCTGGGCCCAAACTAAGGAAAAACCAAGTTAAAAGTTATTTGAAGAAACTTCTAGAAGTATATTTAATATTTCTGAAAAGTAAATTAAATTTCAATAGCAAAAATATAAGTAAATAAACTTAATTTTATGGTTTAGATGGTTTCAGACAAAGAGTCAATAACGATTATCATAAAAGAGCTACTAAGGGGCTAAATCCTTTTCATTGGGTTGAATCTCTCGATGATAATTGCGGGTGCAGTAGACTCAAGTCTCTGGACAACTTCGCCACCATATTTGAGGCTTTAGTCTTCTGTAACCAGCCTAGGCTGGTGAGTGTGGGCATATTCCTGAACAGGCTGTGATGATTTCTAAGGGAAGACTTTAATCTTGCCTCCATGCTAAACCTCGCTAAGGCACGTCCTCATTGACCTCCAACCTCTACCTACCAGATGCAGCTCTTTGTCTCAGTCTTCTTATTGGGCCACTTCCCAGAGTGTGAACAGTAGAGCTGGTTAAGATCAGGTCTAGAATGCATATCCCCTTTTTTTTTTCCATCTGGGAACTACCAGAGGATGGGTACTGTTCTTTTAAATCCCCAAAACAAAATAGGTTGTTACAGACAATGGCTTCCCGACAACGAGGGCTTCTCTTAAATCTACCTCTCTAAGAAAAATCACCCTTAAAGACGTCGAGGTTCATTAATCCTTCCAAGGGATGGAATGATAGATGGAGTGATGTCAGGGAGGAGGCTGAAACGGAGAGAATTGCAATGGAGAAGGTAGGATTAGTGTTGACTCAGAGGAGGGACATGCTTTTATCTGAGATAGAAAGGACAGATGAAGATATAGAAATATGAGGCATAGAAACAAGTTGATTACTTTTTTCTGTAGACTAAAGAGGTTACAAAGTACTTAGGTCTAGATTTGTATCAGCCACTAAATTAATGCTGTATAACAAATTGCCCCCAAACCCAGTGATGTATGACAAAAAAATCTTTTCTAGCTCATCAACAGGGATCAGATCATCGAGGAAG